AGCCAAGTGTCGTATAAATAATATAAGAAAACGAGCTAAATTTAATCAAATAATATTTAAAAAAAAAAATTAAAAATTAAAACGAAGAAATCTGTATAAAAAATTAGCTATAGTTTGATAAAAAAAAACAATGTATATTTTAATAAAATTTATTTACCCTATTATTGTATTTTACAAACATTGCATTATTGTAATCGAATTTTGATATTTTATTCTATGTAATTTGCGAATTGTTTTTTACCCACGATCCGCTTTAGTGCATTGCAAATGTTGTATACAAAAGAAATACTTTTATAAATCGCGTAACTACGCTTAGACTAAGAAAATGCCTATATAGCCAACAAAATGAATATATATATAAATATATATACTATGTACCCAAAATGACTTTTTGTATGCAAAAGAAATAAAATCACTTTGAAGCTTGGGAATAAATAAAGCAGCCACAGCAAATATAAACAATAAAATGTTTCAAAATATTTTCATTGCTTCATAACAAAAATTTAATTATAAAATGTCTGTCATGTAAGTATTATTTGTATTATTTTAAACTAATATTTTGTATTTCCTACCATTTTTATAGACCCTTAAGACACAATGGATTTTCTTAGTTAACTAAATGTAAAATGCGCTGTTTGAAAATGTAGACAAATATGGGAAATATATTTTAAATACATTTATAATGATAAATAGTAGCGTAGGCATATATGTACGTATATATTCTTCCAATATATATACATACATGCATATATAGGTTTATTTATTATGTATTATCTGTATATATCTCTATGTATAAGTGTATAAATTTATGTATAAGTGCACTGCTCGACAACGAAAATTAACAAAAGCTCGCAAAAGCACTTTTAATCTTATAGATTACATAGACTTTATGCTTCCAGAGATTGAATAATTAGGTTTTACAATTACATAACTACACGCCAGGAAACAATTTTAACAGTCTTGGAGTATATGGGCTCCTACGTGGATGGCGTTGTTGTTGGCGTAGATGCGGTTACAGCCGTTGTCAGCAGCACATCCTGCTCGGGTATAACGGACACAGCCTCCTTAACGTAGCCATAGATATGTTTGCGCGTATCATTGACCACATCGCGCACCATGGCCTGAAAGAAACTGCTGTGCAGCGGTGCCTCAGCGTATCGCTCGTACTGATCGAGCGAGTCCTGCAGCTTTAAAGTAAGGTCATAGTTTTTGCGAACGACATCAAGTATTTGTTCCTCTGTCGGCGTGGACAAGCCCTGCTCGGCCAGCCATTCCTTAATTTTGTTTTGAAAGTGCTTAACAATGGCGAGTATATTCACAAGAGCATTCAAGAGTTTAATGACGTCGTCCTTGTACTCGCACTCCGGCATTGTTGTGTAGCGTAAAACTAAAGAGAATATTAGATATAGCTGCGTTTAAGACATTGACCTTTCTTGACATACCCATGGCATGGATTTCCGTAAAGACTTTCTCCTCACGATTCAGCTCATAATAGAGCTCGTCGTAGCTGTTCGTTGTGGCCAGGAATGTGTCGCCGTAAGTAATGAACAGATTGAATATGTTGACCACCTGCAGCGACAAGTGGAATATATTGCACTTTTTGACCAGCGTCTGCTCCTGATTGACCAGAAAGCGCAACAGACCAATCAAGGCCGACCACAGCTCCTTCCAGGGATAATTCAGACGAACGCGGCAACGTTTCTGATAACATAGAATGCGATGAATGACCCCAATGCAGAGCAAATACAGCTCCATGGGGAATTTCTTCATTAAATGCGAGACAATGAACTCCACCAGCAAATCGAGTAATGTGGCAGCCAGAGGCTGCGATTTGCCTACGCGGTCCACATTTAGCTTGCGATGGCGCATTTGGGCGCGATGTAGCATCACCTTAAAAGTTAAGTTGCTGTCGTGCATCATTGAGTTGGCATACTGATCCTCCGATATGCAGGTGAGTATCAGAAAACAAAGCTTCAGGTTGGCAATGCTCGATTCGTTTTTGTTATCTTGCATCACAATCGAACTGAAAGGGCATACGAAAAGAATCAGCGGGGATCGCTTAACTGATATTAAGGCTTGAGCTACCAATATTGAAAAACGGCCACGAGCAGGTTTGTCGGATATTGAGTCATGTCTATGATGGGTGCATTGGCCAGATCAGGCGTTGGCTGCGTCAGACTCAATGTGTTGCTCGGCGATGGTGGTGCACTCGACTCCGTCTGTGGATGAGCCAGCGTTGTGATGAAATTGCGGTTGAGATGCACTGCCTCATAGAGGGCGAGCAATAGGCCATTGTTAGCCTTGATCTGCTGCACACGCTCACAGCCTTCGTCTGAGACAAACATGTTGCCAACCATGCTTGACAGCGACGAGAACCACGAAGAGGATTGCACGTTGTTTAAACTCTGAATGTACTGGCGGCAAAAATCAATCAGCGACTGTGAGATCATTTGTCCATATCTACAATAAAATAGATAAAGGGTCATTATACCATACATTCCTTATCGCGCACACTCTGATAGTTTTCAGCGAGCAGAGCATTAACTGATTATTTACCCATTCAATGCGAGCTCGTCGGCCAAAATGGAAAGCTGCACCACATACGGATTGGTTGCCTCGTGCTTGCGATAGTTCACCAGGATGGTAAGCAGTATAACAATATCGTGGCCATGCTGAGCGCGAAACGTGGGGTCGCTTAGCAGGCGTACAAACGCATCGAACAGGCTGTGCATCATGAGGTACTCGAAGAGCACATTCTGCCCAACATCTGTGCCAGTCACCAGCACCAGCAACAGTTTAAGGCACATGAACCGGGCGTTCTCCGTGACGTCGCCAAGCAGAATTCGATTGCAGTATTGCATTAGCAGCTTCAGCCATTCATCCATAGTCTCGTGCCCAAAGATCTCGTTCAATATGTTCGAGCTGGCATCCGTATTGCACTTTCTGAATATGCCATAAAAGAGTGAGCATAATGTCTGGAGACTGTTGCACAGACGTTTGGGATGATCCTCTACAGTAGTTAAGGAGGTGTTAATAGATATCTTCATTTAAGTATTGCAGCTCTTACCCCTTGAGGTGTCCAGCATTTCGATGCATTTCTGGAAAAGCGTATTCAGATTCGGTTTAACCACTTGCAGCTGTTCGTTGTTTAGTTTGCTGATTTGGTCCTCCAGGGACTCGAAATTGGGCTGCAGCAGAAAGAACTCGTTCCAGAACTCTGGGCTATCAGCGCTGGGATCCTCTCCGCGGCAGAGCAATTCATAAATGTAAACAACCTAAATAAAAAATGAAAATATCAAAGACGTTCGATGTATCATATTCGTGCAAACCTTTTCTTTTGGACGTTTTGTGGAACCGCTGCCGCTCCGTTTGCGTGACGTCATCGTGAAAGAAACAATTTGTTAAACTCTGGAATATTCAACAATTCGTTGTGGGTGTCAGCTAGGAGTGATTGTCAGGCTATTGTTGCTACTTTTGCTGGTGGTTCGACATTAGGGCCGTCACTTAATACACGTTCATTCCAATGAATGGGATTGAAACGTGTAGGCAATGCTGATTTTGGTTAACACTTTCCAACACTGCTTGGCCAGCTGTTGTGCAAGTTCATTCCATTTTCGGAACTAGATTTCTGTTCAGGTTTTAGGCACACAGGAAAGTTTGCTTTTATACAACGCTCGATCAAACTTATAAATAGTTGTTTTATAGGGGAATATTGTAATACTCCTATGCTCGCATTAATAATTCTTAGTTAGACAGGTGCAAAAAAGTTACTCATTCGCTGAACCCATACATCAAAAGGCGAATATCTTCTTGTCGTTCTTAACAACAGAAACGACAGCAACAACTTGGACTAAAACATAAAAAATAAAAGAAGGTCAAAACATGTCCAGTCTGCCACGTCGCATCATCAAGGAGACGCAGCGCTTGATGCAGGAGCCGGTGCCCGGGATCAATGCGATTCCCGATGAAAACAATGCACGGTATTTCCATGTAGTTGTCGCCGGTCCCAACGATTCACCCTTTGAAGGCGGCGTCTTCAAATTGGAGCTTTTCTTGCCCGAGGACTATCCCATGTCGGCGCCCAAGGTGCGTTTCATTACAAAGATCTACCATCCCAATATCGATCGCCTTGGTCGCATTTGTTTGGACGTGCTAAAGGACAAATGGAGTCCGGCATTGCAAATCCGTACCATACTATTGTCCATTCAGGCGCTACTCAGCGCGCCCAATCCCGACGATCCCTTGGCCAACGATGTGGCGGAACTCTGGAAGGTGAACGAGGCCGAGGCCATACGAAATGCACGCGAATGGACGCAGAAATATGCTGTCGAAGACTGAAGCAGCGCAAGTTCTGCGTGCTCTTAAATCTCCTTGCGTGCTGGCTGCCGGTGGAAAGGGAGGCGTATCAGCAAACTTTTTTCTTTTTTTTAGGGATGGGCAGCTCATCCTTCGTCCCACAAACAACGCAAAACAAAGCAAAGCTAACCAACAACAAAACCGGTAAAAATAAGAAGAGAATTAAACATTTTTATAACACATTTTTTTGTATATTTAAATAAGTCAATGCCGAAGATATGGAGATGGCGATAACAATGAAAATATAATAATAATGCTATAATAAACGAAACATTACAAAATTCTATGTGAAACAATGTCTTATTTAAGCTCAATCAATAAATTATATGTTTAACTAATATTTCAATTTGTAATTAATTTCACCTATGGAGAGGTGGAGATAACAGTGCAGATTGCTAAATTTAAAGTATACAACACTGAAAATTCAACCTAAACAAAAGCAATGATGCCAAACAAGAAATCATTTAATATCAAATAACCTGTGTGCGTATTTACATACATACATACATATGTATGCACATACAGACGCATAAACTCATACACAAAAGGAAAAATATTTTGGTTCTAGAAATCATGAACGAACGATTAAAGCTTATTGGTACCGTTCTCGATTACAATAGTAAGCAGTTCATTGAGCTGGTTCGATATAAATTACGCAGCAATCAGTGTGTTTTTGTTCCTGCTCGTGCTGCAATTTCACAATTATTTTGAACTCTGTTGCTTTGTGGAAAGTAAATTTTTGGAATAAATATGTCCTTCATTAAGAAATCCTCGCGTCTTCTGCAATCCCAGCTGCGTCGGGTGCAGAGCGTGCCAATAGCTTTATACCATGAAAATGTAAGTTTTAATACAAATTTTTGCCGCACGAAATTCCCTTTCGTAATATGTTTTATACTATAAATACGCACATACACACACACATGCATATGCATGTATGTACATATATAATCACATTAACGATTTGTTTTCATTTTCCTTTGCACGCGGCAAGATAAAAATTACGTGCTGATAACTAAGTTTGCGCTTTTAATTACAGGTAGTTGAGCACTACGAGAACCCACGCAACGTGGGCTCATTGGACAAAAAGGATGTACGGGTTGGCACTGGACTCGTGGGAGCACCCGCCTGTGGAGATGTTATGAAACTGCAGATCAAAGTCGATGAGAATGGCAAGATCATCGATGCCAAGTTCAAGACATTTGGTTGCGGTTCGGCCATCGCCAGCAGCTCGTTGGCCACGGAGTGGGTGAAGGGCAAGTCCATCGACGAGGCGGGCAAGCTAAAGAATACAGATATTGCCAAGGAGCTGCGTCTGCCGCCTGTGAAGCTGCATTGCTCGATGCTGGCAGAGGATGCCATCAAAGCCGCCTTAGCCGACTACAAAGTCAAGCAGCAGAAGAACGAGACGAATTAAATACATATACTCAAGTTACATACAATTAGTAGATATGATAACCGATTAAGAGTTATCAATATTAGAAAAACTATATACATATATACAGTTATTTTGCATTGAGTTTTAGATTATTATTAATGTGGCTGTGTAAGTAGTTATATAAGTGCTCACTAAATTCATACTTATGTAGATCTCTTCATTTCCAGTTTGTGAGATTTGGGATTCAGGAACTGAATAAGGACTAGCTGGAACTGATCCTAATTGAACGATCTATGAATATATGTGTGTGTGTACGCTTTGGAGTGACTGGACCCCATCTGAACGGTCATGGAATATGTGTTTGGCTTAGAGGGTAGCTAATACTGATGGACGATGGCTACTTATCTAAAAATTTTTTTTTTGTGAATGGACAATATGATTGCAGTGTGGATGGAAGCCAATTAAATCTTGTAGTTATGCAAAATTCAAGCTTAATTAATAATCAATTAAATGTTTAAACGATCTGAATATAAAATGCGTTTATTGATCGTTGTTAATATACATTATTTGCTGATTTTTCCAGTTTCAATTGCAAAGGTTCGTTTATCGCGATTTCTATGATAGACGTACGCTAACTCCGCCGCCGCACTCGCCCTTTGACTTGACCTCGAATGCTGAAAATTAAAGATTTTATTTCAGTCCCATTTAAGATTAATCAATCAAGATCAACTCACGATCGTCAGCGTGCTGGCAGTTGTAGTTGGCCATGACGCAGGAGCTGCCGAAAGTTAAGAGACGCTCCTTGCTGCCGTTCTTGGCCTTGGCACAAACGGGCTCGTAATCGTCTCCGCAGGCGCGAGCACAGCTATTAACCACCTTCTTCGAGTCCTTGGCCGGGCTAGCGAGCACGAATGCCAAGAGGCACAGAGCTAATTGGCAATAAAGCAAAATACATTATTACACATACGTAATACACTTTTAATAGCATATTGTGTTTTAGACCGAGTTCCCTGAATTGAATATACATATACTTGTATAAATTGCCTATTTTTGCTAATCTCGGGAATTGGTTAGGTCAGTTTGCTCTGAACTGCCATCTACATATATATATAGGTCAATATTTATATTTACTGAGAGATTTCATTATCGCAGACAAAATGTACAAGTATTACCTGGTATACTATAGAAATACCATAGGATTGTTGAAATCGTTTTTATTTCACTGGTAAGCTTTTCAATTCTATACAAGTTCGCTGATTATTTATTAAATATATACACATACATATACACATATACTATACTTCACTCTTATCTAACATTTTACCTATACAGTAAAGTTTAGCTGGTCTGGACCTATATATGTACATACATATATATGTATGTATATACCTGCCTGAACTCTTGTAAAGAAATTTGCTGCTTTTAAATAATAGATTTTTACTTTTACGTTTGTCAACAAATTTTGATATACAAATGTACAAATTATATGTAATTACATATATGTACATACATACGTCCCGTTGTGGACATTATGCAGTAAATAGTCACTTACCCAGAATGGTAAACAGAGCGAAACGCATTTTTATATTTCCAATATTCCAAAAGTTTTAGAGCAAAAAATAAGCAAAATTTGGCACAAACCGGCTTTGAGTCGAGCTAGAATAGAACTGAATTCGAGACTGTGGGATTTATCACCTTTATATACAACAAGTTCAGCTCAGAGCGTAGCTGTTGAACAATAGCCGGTGACACACACACACACACACACACACACACATAGGCTGATAGACATGAATATATATACATACATATGTGCGATGATCGGAATCTCTCATCCCACACTTAAATTACAGTGTATTAAAAAGTAGACAAGCTTTGAAGTGCATCGTTATTTGTATGAGTAGGTAAAAATGGCAATGGACGGGGACAACGACAGTGGCCGGGTCGATGAGAACAAATGGGAATTGGATTAGGGGAATGGGCTGCGTCCGAGAGGCACGCGTTGGATGGTGTCATTTAGTTTAAGGCGGTTATGGTGGCACTTGCCCCCTCCCCAGGCTAACGATCTACTAACAGACAATGTTACAACAGAGGTGGGCAATTATCAAATTAGAGAATTTAACAAATATGGCAAAAAAGGCGATTAGTTAAAATTATATATGTATGTACATATGTACATTTAACATCTCTTATCTAAAGCAACATTAATAGAAGACATTAATTTGTGTAAATGTGCTTTGAATCTTAATACGTCAAATGCAAATTACAGATCCACATTTACAACTCTGGATCAAACCAATTTACACACATTTGCATTCTTATGTGTGCAATGAACGGGAATCTGCCCCTTTGATCTAGTTCACGTGACGTTTCTACGCACCACAAGTAAGTCGCTGCCTTTCATATTGTTGAATTTAATGGAATTGTTTATCAAAAATGCTCTGATTGTCATTAAGATCTGCTTGAATTCAGTGATGTCAGACCAGTCATTAAGCTTTATAATATCCATACGGATTAAATCATAACTGAGCCAAATTTCCTTGTTCCTCATACTAGATAATTTTTAAAATTTGTTGTTTTTAATACATATTCACGTATGTATGTAGTTCATTGACCCAAACAATCGTATATAAGCTCTGAAGTAAATATTTCAAATAAAACTGATATATTTGTAAAGTAACTATAAAATATTCGAAAAAAAACCGCATTCCATTCAAATAACTCGATTCTATTATCACAGATTCAAGGAATCAGTAAATCGAACTATCGTTACTTAATATCGATATAAAATGCGTGCTGGTATAGCGATGTTTAGTCACACCTCTAGTTTTCACAAACTCAATGCGTCATTTCTGGCATTAAACGTTTGCAATTTCACAACAGAAAAGAAAGTTTTTTTTAGCTTGATCACAAATTTATAATCCCTAGTAAACTATTTATAAAAGGTAAAGTACAAGTCAAGGATCTAACGTGAAATTGAGCACATATTAGTAAACATTTTACCTGCTTGCAATAAAACTCAAAATAATGGAGGAATATATGAAATTGGTCGCCCAATACAAATGCGATATAAACTCAAACGTTGATGAAAGCAGCTCCGAAAGCGACAGCGACTCGTACGTATCAATGGGACAAACGGAGCGCGGAGCTTCGGTTCGAGAAACAAAAGAAGTCAATGTAGAGAGCGGAAAGCGCAAGTCTGGAACGGCGCGGCTGCCAACTAGGCGACCAGATCCCAACGTATACAACAGAAATGCATTGCTCGCTCGTGAGAATCGCCGTAAGAAGAAGGCGCACATGGAGGCAGTCGAGAAGGAGTTGAATGAAACGCGAATGACAAACCGATCGTTGTTGAAAGCGCTCAAAAAACAACTGAAGCGCACTCGGAAGCTTGAAAGAGAGTGCCAATTCCTGAAGGATACATTGGGTAACTACAAAGAAAACAAAAATGTAGCCACTCAATTAAATATGGGTATTTCATCACCGAACAACCGAGCCGCCTCGCCGGAGGGCTCCCTGATATCTGCRTATTCGAGCAGCAGCAGCTACGAGCCGCCCATGGAGACAGACTCTTACGCAGGCTTCCTGAACGTCGACAATGGTAGTGTAGCCGCCGAGCAATTTGTAAACGAGACACCATCAAGTTCATGGAATGATTTTATTGACGATTTATTAACAGATTATCAGCCCACGCCAGCCTACGAAGATGAGAGCTCCACCCGATTTGTGGAGCAGAGCAGCTTTGACCTGCAGCAGAGCCAGCCACTGGCCATCATTGACGAACACAGCTATTTCAATAAGTTTACGGAAGTGGGCCTTTACACCCCGGACTGTGAGTGGAGTCCCAGTCGCACTCCGCCCACGCAGCTGCTGCAAGACGACGAGTTCTTGTTTAGCAGCGCAGACACAGACATCGAATGTATTGCAAGTCTATAAGTTATAGTTTAATGTGTTTTTTTTTTATTAACTATTCTAAGAAGTTTTAACCATAATTAGATTAAGGTATTCGAGCGCGATCTTTTTGTGAATCGATATAATTCTTTCCACATTGACAATCTTAAAACTTTATTAGCATAGCCCGTGGAGATTATGATAGAACGACAGCCCACTGCAGCAGCCCTTTGGCTTCGACGTTTCAAATTTGTTTCACATTTTCAGGCGAGTGTGGAGGCGAGTTGGATAATTCATCCAGCACGCAAATGATTCATTTGAAGGTGGGTTTCTTCGTAGGATCTGCAAAAAGCAAAAGTTCCAAATGAGACTATGATCATCTTTTTGTGCCACTTTTTCAGTTGCGGCCAGAATTTAGGACGAAACTCGAAATCTAACGGATTTCCACAAAATATTTTCCTTCATGGCAGAGCCCTAACGGAAGGAGAAGAGTTGCAGACGTCAAGTGTATTAAATACAAACAGGCGTTGTTTTCTATTTATTGTTTTTATCGAATTTCAAAAGTGACAAAATTATACTAATTTATTTGGATTCTGAAATGTTTCAGATGTTTGTTATCACACAGTCAATGTGAGATTTCATTGATTTTAGTGGACAGTGAGGCTTGGAACACCGGTACGTACTTCTATCATAACTCCTTAAAGGCATATGTTTTGTATGTATACCTTCAATGATTATTATTTGTTGATTTTGGAAAGAATTATCGATACGATTTCATCATTATTATGCATTTGTTATTGAGCCCAAATAAAGCTATGACTACACAATATTTGTGATTAAGAAATTTGTTGTTTTCATTGCGTAATGAAATAAAAGATTCGTTTTAGGTATGCGGATTTATATACAGACTATATTTGTGAACACACATTGTTTTATAAACGAAATTCGGGACACATTTAAGCTTTTAGCAACTTGGCATGATATTCAATATGCTCGGCCACAAATGTAGCTATATAAAAGTAGCTGTGGTCGTATCCCTCTCGTTGCTTGAATATGGTCTGGATGTGGTCGTTGGGGGCAGCTGCTGCTAGCAATTTTTCTGGCAGCAGTTGCTGGCCAGCGAGAAAGTTGTCGGCTGATCCCTGATCTATGAACAGCTCCTGAGGTGTGCTGGCGTACTTGGAGACCAAGCTGGTAGCATCCCACTGTGCCCAGTCATCCCGGTTGGCGCCCAAGTATCCAGTGAAGGCCTTTTGGCCCCATGGACATTCCGAGGGGTTGGCAATTGGTGCAAATGCAGACACCGATTGATACAAGCCGGGATTCTTAAGAGCGCAAATTAAGGCGCCGTGGCCACCCATGCTATGACCGAAAATTCCTTTTTTGCCAGGCAAAACCGAGAAATTGGCATTGACCAATTCGGGGAGCTCCTGCGTGACGTAGCTATACATCTTGTAGTGCTTGGACCATGGGGCTTCAGTGGCATCCACATAGAAGCCGGCACCACTGCCGAAATCGTAGGCATCGTCCTGGCCGGGCAGCTCCACTCCACGTGGAGAGGTATCGGGATTTACCACAATGAGGCCTTCTTTGGCTGCCGTTCGTTGGAAGCCGCTCTTCTGCACGAAGTTCTCGTGAGTACACGTCAAACCGCTCAAAAAGTATAGCACTGGACATTCGGTCTTATCTTCAATTGCCGCTGGGGGCAGGAAGACACCAAAGGTCATGTCACATTCCAGAACGTTGGAGTGATGTTTGTAGACACGTTGCTCGCCTTCGAAGCATTTTGTGGCCGACACAAGTTCCAGTTTCATCTTCTGCAATCAAACAACTATAGTAAATTGACAATATGTTAAACAAAATAATTACTTTTGTAGATTGATTCGAAAAAACAAGTTTGTTCCTAGTACGAATAAGAAATGAACTAACAATGATTTTCTTTTCTACACCGGTACGAGGGATGCATACTGGTTCCAGGGTGGTTCCATATTATATTTTGCAGCCCTCAAATTATCTTTGGCTGTGTTGTGAAATGTCATAATGTGCAACACAAAAATATAGCAAAGCATTAAACGTAAATAAGCCGGTAGCAATTGGAGTACTTACTGTAAATAGTTGCTATTAACTGTAATATAATGTCTGAAGAGGCGCCCAGTACGTCTAGTTTTGGCTTTAAGAAGCGGAATGTTAACAGAAGCGCCGGCATGCGGCGAAAGAAAGTCAGCAGCAGCAGCAGTGATTCAGGTGAGTGCGAAATTGGCGCAAATATAAATGAGAAATAAATTTCTAAAGAGCAGATAATTCATTCACAGCTAAAAATAGCGACGAGGAGTCACATAGTAAAACCAGCGCTTTACTTCGTGCCGAAAATCGACGAAAACGTACGAATCCCAACTTTCAGAGCACCAAAACTGCGAAACGAAGAGCGGAAACGGGCGTCGCAGCTGGAAATGTCTCAGACAGCGATTCAGACTCTGCTGGCGATGCCAATGGAGTGCTCGTTGCATATAAATCGAAACGCGAAGGCATACCCAGCGGCCCGCAAGATCAGGGCGCAACCTCCATAAATGAAGTGGATACCGAACTGGATCGCGATGCCCAGGCAATCCATGCGCGCTCGGTCAAAATCAACGAAGAACTTGAAGGAAAGGCAGACGACAAGATCTACCGTGGTCTCAATAATTATGCGCAGTACTATAAGAAGAAGGACACGGCAGCTGGCAACGCCAGTTCAGGCATGGTACGAAGTGGACCTATACGGGCGCCGGCTCATTTGCGTGCCACTGTCCGTTGGGACTATCAGCCAGACATTTGCAAGGATTACAAGGAGACGGGCTACTGTGGATTTGGCGACAGTTGCAAGTTCTTGCATGATCGCAGCGACTACAAAGCAGGCTGGCAACTGGAAATGGATCACGAGGCGCAGCGCAAGGGAGAATGCGATTCGGATGGGGATGATACCAAATACGAGATCCACTCAGATGAGGAGTCTTTACCATTCAGATGTTACATATGCAGGGGGAGTTTTGTCAATCCTGTAGTTACCAAGTAGGTGTTTATATATGCGCTTATAATATACGTATTAATCTATTCCTATTCCAGGTGTAAGCATTACTTCTGTGAGAAGTGTGCTCTAGCTCAGTACAAAAAATCGCAGCGCTGCATCATTTGCTCACAGCAAACCAATGGCATATTTAATCCTGCTAAGGAGCTTATAGCTCGTCTCAAAACAGAACCCATGGAAGATTTAGATGGTGATGAAGACAATGAAAACAATCATCATGACAATAGCAAAGAGCAAGAGCCGGCTATATCCTCGAATAGTGATAGCGATTAATCAGGTTGTTTTAAAGAGTTTATAAAGAAATGGATTAGAATTGTGTAGAATAGGAGATAATTAATTATAATAAAAGTTTTTATATTTTGAAAATGATGGAAGTAATTGTCACTTTTAGTTTTCTGCTTTTGTTCTTTTATTTTAGATTTTCCGTTTTCTTCACATTTATTTTTCACCGTCTCTCTCTTCCAGTTATTCTGCCCTTTTTCATTCACCCTTCACTCACATAAGCATCACTGGCTGCAGCCGCAATAAAGTTGTTTTTTACGAGTACCTGATTCTCAGTTGGATGCTACTCCATCTTTAATGCAGAGTGGAAAACATTCGTTCATTATTCAATTTGCAAAAGTTTTGGCACTACTGCTTGTTGGAATCATTAGTCTGCTGGGAATAGATCCTGCTGGGGCTGATTGCATATTTGGCTGTTACCCGACCTCAAGAGAATGAAAAGAGAGAGAGAGAGAGAGAGAGAGAGAGAGGCAAAAGCAACTTGTGCTCGAAAAGAATGCCTTTGCCATTAAGGACAGCAATCAGAAAGCTTTGTAAACTTGTTTGCCTTTCATTGTTCAACGCATAAGACCAAAATATTGCCAATATTCGTTGCGTGGCGAGCAGAGACTAAGCCGCAAATTCTGCCTGCTCGACGCACACAGCATACGAGAGGGCATAAGTCTCAATAACAAAGCTGGGCAAAGGAAAATCTATACTAGCTGCAAGCCAGCTCGATGCACACGCACACAAATCACTTTGAGCTGCCCCAAACGTCAAACCGACGATAGTTCGACGAATTTGCAAACAAAGTTTGTGGAATAGATGCATCGTGCGAATAGCTAATTGCCAAGTCTTGTGGAAGCTGAGGGAGTGAGATGAACTGCGAACGGAAAATAATTAAAAGATCATATATGTAATTGACGGGCATCCGGAGATAGATAATCTAGAATAAGTTTTTTGTAAAGAGTATTATTTTCCATCAACATATTCATTTACGGAACGAACGGCTATTAACCATGATATAGAAGTTCCAACGCTCTCGTAATTGACGCAATTTAAAATCGTCGCACTTTAGCTGTAGATGAGACACAAATAAAAAAAAAAGTACGCCACAGCATCCACAAGTCACGTACTCTCAGTTCTAGTCAATCTATTGGCTCTAATTGAATGACAAAGTCGTGCATGACAAACGAAAGTAAATTGAACGGGCAGAAGATCTCTGTCTCTGAGCGCTGACAGCTCTCATGTAATTGGCGACAAATCAGTTTTAATTATTTCAATAAACTCGCATACGTGTTGACTGACATTTAATATTGGTAATATTTAGTGGGATGCCGTTAGAGGTCTTGCACACGTACTCAACTGCAAAGTCAACAACAAGAGTAGAAGCCATTTTAATAATCGCACTTCAAAATGCTCTTCAATTAGCAAGTGGAATGTGTAGTGAATGTCCTTTCTCTTTCTCTTTCTCTTTCTCTTCTTACCACACACTTGGCCAATTGTTAGGTAATCAAGCATTAATACGTTTGACGCGTTCTCGTCATTTCGTTTAACAATGGCATTAAAATTTAACAAAGGCATCAACTCTATTCGAAACTCAGTCCTGTGTTATAGTTAAACTAATCACTTCATACAATTTCTGAAAACACAGAACATATACATGCAAATACTATTTATATGTATACATTTCTGAAAACATAGAATATATACTATATACATACATATATAAATACTATTTATATATATGTATATTCCTCTTAATAAATTTATTATCAGGATATATTCGTCGGCCAGAAATTGATTTATATTTACTAAAATTTAGATTTGACTACTTATCTATCTATATATTAAAATAGTAAATAACT